CCTGCTGCTGCACTTCCTGTGTCTGCTGACTTCGTGGAGCTTATAGTTGACTTGATGTTTGAAGTTGCTCTTGACGCAGAGACTAAACATCTGCCAGTGTGTTTGCTGCTGCTGCTGTAGCTGCTGCTGCTGCTGCTTCTGTTGCTGCTGCTGCTGCGGCTTCTGTTGCTGTTGCTGCTGCTGCTGCTTCTGTTGTTGTTGCTGGTGGTGCTGCTTCTGTTGCTCCTGCTGCATCTAGTGCTGCTCCTGCTTCTAGTGCTGCCGCTGCTGCTGGTGCTCTGTTGGTATTGTTGCTGTTGCTGCTGCTGGTGTCGCTGTTGGAGATGCTGGTGCTGATGCTGCTGCTGCTGCGGGCGCTTCTGTTGTTGCTGCTGCTGCTGTCGCTGCTGCTGCTGCTGCAGGGATTGCTGCTGCTACTGGCGTTGCCCATGCAGCTGCTCGTGCTGGTGATGCTGCTGCTGCTGTTCGTCTTGCTGCTGCCGTTGCTGCTGCTGCATGTGGCGCTCTTGTGCCTGCGAGGGTCTTGCTGCGGCGACAGCACATTAGCTGTTGCTGCTGCTGGTGCTGCTGCTGCTGCTCAGGGAGCTGCCCCTAGTGTTTTTGTCTCGGAGTCCCCCAACCCCCGCAGCAAGCTGCTGCGAGAGCAAGCAGCAAAGCTGCAGCAGCAGCTAAACCCTCAGTTTCAGCAGCAAAACTCAAACCCTCCCTTCATCAAGTGGAAAGATCTTCTGCATCAAGTAGGCCCTGCGTCTAGGGTTTAGGGTTTAGGGTTTAGGGTTTAGAGCCTAGGGTTTAGGGTTTATGGTAAAGGCGCGCAAGGGACAGGCTTGTGCTTTAGGGTTTAGGGTTTAGGTTTTAGGGTTTAGGGTTTGGAGGTTTGAGCTTCAGGTCGTGCAGCGCGCTGCAGTTGGCTACTGCGGGGCCCTGCTGCTGCCAGAAGAGCAGCAGCGGCCTGAGTTGCTGCTGCTGCTGCCATACTTCAAACCCGCGAAAGACGCATACGGCGGTAAGGGCTAGGGTTTAGGGTTTAGGGCTTAAGGTTTAGGGTTTGGAGTTTCGGGCTTTTGGTCTCCTGCGGACCGCGCCTTAGCCGTAAGCAAGAGCCTTCAAGGCTTGCAGTGCTGCTGCTGCTGCTGCTGCGGCTGCTGCAGGTGCTGCAGCAGCAGCAGATCTCACCACTGTTGCATTTGAGAGACACCTGGGGCCTCAGCGGCTGCAGCGCCGCCTGCTGTCTCTCCCCTGCGAGCAGCTAGCAGCCATCTTTAGCCCCCGGCAGCAGCAGCAGCAGCAGCAGCAGCAGCAGCGGAGAGAACAGCCCCAGAAAGCCCAAATGCAGCAGCAGCAGCAGCAGCAGAGAGAACAGCCCCAGCAAGCCCAAATGCAGCAGCAGCAGCAGGAAGAGAAGCTCCAGCAAGCTCAGATGGAGCAGCAGCGGCACCAGCAGCAGCAGCAGCAGCAGCAAACTCAGCAGAAAGGGGAAGACCACCACAAGCAGCAGCAGCAGCCGCAAGATGCTGCCGCTTGTCGAGGGGCAGCAGCAATCGCTGCGTTGGTGCCTCAGCAACAGCAGCAGCAGCACGTGGAACAGCAGCAGCAGCAGGCAGAACAGCAGCAGCAGCAGCAGCGGCAACAGCA